AGCACCATCAAATCTAGCACTGATCAAAAGTCTTAAACTCCTAGACCCGTCCCCATTCTTTGCAATAATTTTCTATTTCATAATTGAAATTCACCCATGTGGATTCGGTACTCTTTTGATGTTTCATAAATTTCTGCCTAAACTATTCCGGGCTTAGTTTAAACCGTCTTAACAATAAATTTTTCACGTGTTCATAGTCTTTAGCTTTATCGGAGGGTTCTCTAGCTATTAACTGGGTTACTTCGTAAGGAAGTACTCTTAGTAAATGAGATACAAATTCTTCTTTATCAATTTTAGCCCATTCTGCTTGCCTTTCAAACAATAGCAAATATAGACTGATATCTCCTTTCTTGTCATCGAATTTCTGCATAAGGTGACGCAGCTCCGTTTTCGGCCGGATTTATCCGGTATTTTGAGACTTTGTCTCTGCTTCAAGTCTTAATCTCTCTAATTCATACTGTTCGTTCCTTCTCCGCTCTTCTGCTTCTTCTTGTCTCCTACGTTCTTCTCTTTCCCTTTCCTCCCTCTCTTTCCGTTCGTCTCCTTCCTCCCTCTCTTTCCTCCCTCTCTTTCCGTTCTTCTCTTTCCTCCCTCGCTTTTCGTTCTTCTCTTTCCTCCCTCTCTTTCCGTTCTTCTATTATTGTGTCTAAGACTCCTTTGACGAAGACTTCATGATAATCTCTACTTTCAACAACATTTTCTGTTTTAAATCAACTATTTTCAAATCTGCAGTCACATGAACTCCCAGTTCAGCCGCGAGATTTTGCAAATTCTTCCTTACGAGCTCTTCCTAAGTAACACGTTGTTTCTATGTTTAAAATTAACGAACACTGTATTCCTTTATACTTTCCTCAAAATAGCTCAAAAATGAAATATTAAATTATATGAAGTTCATTCTCTCTCTACACACATAATTGTTAATTAAAATAAGAATAATAACATAGAACAATATATATATACTACCGTATGGACAACTAAAATGAATATTAAAATATAATATCAATACGGCAATAAAATAAGACAATTTATTATTAACAGGTAAAGTAATAATCTGGTATCACTACTTATTAGAAACAGATAGTTCAGTGATGAACTAATAAAATAAAACAATTAACTATTGAACAGAGAAGTAATAATCTGGTATCACTAATATTATGTTCAGTGATGAACTAATAAAATAAAGCAATTCTATAGGAACAGGAAGAAATAATCTGGTATCACTAATATTATGTTTAGTGATGAACTAATAAAATAAAAATACGCACGATTATTCGATCTCGGTCGGTGCCTCCAAAATAATGAAGCAACTCTAATGATGGAACACAGCAATAACTTTTATTTAACACTAAAAAAAATGGCGACCTACAAACAAGAAGAGAAAACATATTCTAAAAACTTATTCAAAAAAATAAATAATTACATGCTTCGTGCGAGAAAATGCATGCAGCTCTCGAGCCTGCATTTCAATATTGCCAGTAATCTGTACATTATTTATTATTCATCTATTTCAAATGCACGAGAGATTAATAACGATATTAAAGCTGTTACAATATAAATCTAATGTTAAGGTGTTGTCATTATAGTTGTGGTGAACATAAAATGTTTGGTGGAGGAAATACCTTTACTTTATACTCTTGGGCTCCAAAGCCTCATTGCTAACATCATCATTAAACTTTCTATTTTTTAATCCACTTATCTATTTTAGGAATTCTTTATAATTAAAATAATTTTGTCAAAAACTATTAAAAATGTCATAAGTGCATATTATTTTTAATGTGATAACACAAGTATTGCATATAGTAGAAAGCAAATATTTAAGTTATACCCCATTAGGCATGGAATTAAACTAGGCTTGGATGACAAAAATGGCAACTCCTTCCATGATGCTTCACACTTCATCAACCATATTAGGTGCAGAGGGGTGGCAGGCCAATCTTTTAGCAACCCATTACCAGATGTTTTCAATGGGTAACAGATCTGGAGACCATGCAGGCCAGGGCAGCAACCGAATATCCTGTGTATCGAGGAAGGTCAGAACACAACATGTAACATGATGTCTTGTTTGAACATCGCGTTTGGAGGCCTCGAAGATAAGATACAACCACTGGACGTAAGATGTCAGAAATGTACCCATCTGCATTCAAACTACCATCGATCCACCATCTACCACTAAAGATGTGCATGTCGTGTACCCAATGGCTGCCCAAACCATCACACCAGGTGCAGGGTCCCTATGCCAATATCAAATGATCGTGCGGTCTCCTCGGACTTGGACACGGATACAGCCATCAGAATACTGCACGACCCGTTTAAAACGATGCTACCAGAATACCGTTTCTCGGAAATGCCCTGCGTCGCTAGATGTAATAATCCCTTTACTCATGGAAAACATTTCCCACGAAAGCGCCCAAGCAGCCAGCCCTTTCATCGTGATTCGTGAAGTTCACAGTGTTTAAGAACCACTCATCTAAGTGAACAAACCAAACAAAGGGATTAGTTTCCCAAAATTGCGGTGGCAATATGCGCTAGACGCAGCTGTTTCATTTGTTTTTCCGCTGTATCTCAAATTCTTTGATCTAAAGGAGTAAAATGTCACTGTGACTGTATCGGTGTTTGTTTACAAATAAGTGAGAGCGTATTTTGAAATCTTGATGGGATCGTATAGGATCAGACGTCTAGGTTTAGAGGAAAAATGTTGTTAAAATGCTTGAAAGACAAAATTTACTATCATGTAAGGTAAACTACATTTCTCAGTCAATTCTAAAAAGTTATATCGCTGATAGGTTGAAATTAATGAACACTGGTAGTTATCCCTGATTGCCTTCGTAGCTGAAACGAAATGACAACATTGCCTGCACTTATCTTTCAAAGAAGTGTGGAATATAATTGTAACTCTGATGCCCGAAGAGGGAGAAAACCCCACTCTTTTAAAAAGGCAAAAAAAACCAGAACCTTCGTACAAAAAATGTTTTTTTCAAATATTTCATGGCTGAATTAGTAACCAATAAACAAAAATTACCTTGTTGGAACAAACTGCTTTTCCATTCTTCATACATTTTGAAAAAATAAATACTAGTATGCTTTAGGATTCATCACTCTATATAGTAATAACAGTATTAGTTAAATGCTTTTCAATTTAATGTAATCAAGTTTTCAGCTCTTTAAAAAAAGATACAAATAGTAATTAATATTAAAGACATACTTTTATATATTTGGTTTAAATAAAAGATTATTTGCATTTTTTAATGGTTTAGATGCATATTTCCTGAGTGTACTTCTTATGTTCGCTGCTAAATAATAAATAAGATAAATTTATTTAATGTTCTTAATTACTGCTGTGTGTGTTTCAGCAAATGCATTATTGATATTCAATAACTCATGCTTAATATGGTTACTAGTTCAATCTCTTTGGTCTGGGAAATTGTTTATTTTGGTCATAGTAAATCTGGGAAATTAAAAGTTGCACTTCAGTAGAAATTTTGCCTCATTTTAAGTGTAAAATAATTGTGTGCTTTCTAAATTTCAGATAATCTATAAATCCTTAAAAACTTGTCATTAAAGAGTTTGTTTACTAAATATGTATGATATAATTTATTTCCGAGATGAGTAACAAATAAGCATTCTCTAGTTTTCCTTTTTACGTATAAGGTTAGTAAATTTTTCTCTTTATGTAACTGAGTAAATTGTGTGTGTATTATGTTTTCCAAGCTAGCATGATTTTTTTTTTTTAAAGACAGTAATTCATTAAATTTAAAACACACAGTTTTGCTATGTCTTCTCATACTGAAAGGAAAACTATTAATAATTTAAAAATGGTATATAAATTTTATAGAATATTAATAAAATATTATAGCTTATAATGCATAGTGCCTTTTCCAAACTCATTGTTTTGTTTTATTAAACAGTTTTAGAATTTAAAAACATGAAGAATGTATAAGAAAATGTTTTCTTATCTGCATTACAGTATGGCATAATTTAATGCGCGCCGCGGCGTGTCCCCCCCTTTCCCCCGCAGAGCAGCGTGGAATTGATAAACAAATTTCGGAATGGTTAGAGAAACGAAGGATATGCCTTTAATGCCTTTATCCATTTTTTCCAGCAATTCCACTTTTTGTTTAATGGACTTCGAAAAATACTTTCGCTTTGTAGATCCTTTACATATTAGTAAATATATATCGGAAATTCTATTTGACATAATCGAAAGTTCAAGCTTACTTTTATAAAATTGCTCTAACAGTCTGCAAAAAATAACAAGCCGGATCCAATTCGAAGATTAAGGAGCAATGCAATCTGCAACATTAACTGAATTAGATAATTTTAGCTTAGCTTATACCGTCCGTTAGACATTAAACGCACATGCCTATTCACAGCCATAAAGGTCTTATGCGCATGCGTCACCGCGAGGCATGCTCAGAAAGTTTGTAGCTTTAAGGTCCGGATTATGGGTGTCCGAATTAACGACTTTTGACTGTACTAAGGCAGTTTGTGCTGGTCTTATTTCTGCCATATCTTTGCATGCTTAATTTCAGGTGATTGTTCTGTTTGATCTGTAATTAAGCTAGCTCATTTTGAGTATGCTCATTGGTGACCTTGTGTTTGTCTTGCTTTTGGAAGTTGTGACTTTAACATGGAGAACAATATTTTAATAATTTATATGCATTATTTGTTAATTAAACCATTTGTGTTTTACCTATTGTTTTTAGCATATATTTCTGCTGTGAAGCATATCATATAGTATACTTAAGGAGGATTTTCCTCTGGGAGATAAGCCGGATCCAATTCGAAGATTAAGGAAAAACGCAATCTGCAACATTAACTGAATTAGATAATTTTAGCTTAGCTTATACCGTTCGTTATACATTAAACGCGCATGCGTTAACGTATTATGTGCATGCGCACATGCCTATTCGCAGCCGTAAAGGTCTTACGCACATGCGTCACCGCGTGGCATGCCCAGAAAGTTTGTAGCTTTGAGGTCCGGATTATAGATCATTCCGGATTATGGGTGTCCGAATCAATGACTTTTGACTGTAGTAAAAACTTTAAAAGTATCATTATTGGCAAGGGAACAAATAATTGATAAAAATCATTAATATCTGTTTGAAATTTTAAATACTTGGATAACTATATCCTAATTTCTACCTTCCTAAAATATTTTTTAAAATTCTATGTATATATATATTCGCCTAAAACCTATATTATTCTTTCTTTTAAATTTTGTTAGTATTAAAAAATATGACCAAAATGAAAAGAGTAAATAAACCATTGAAAAATCTATATTCCTGCTAAAAAAATGAGCAACTAAGGCAAAATGTGGAATAAAACAAAAACTTTTTAATGGATATGTGTGAAATTGATCCAATAGGTTGGTGTGACATTACTAGACCACAAGCAAACAATAAAGCAAAGACATACAAAAACACCTGTATGATGACCATCACATCACAAAAATCCAAATGGGTTGGAAGAACATACAGTGGAAACATCACGTTAATAGCAGCTATGAAACCAATTAGCTGAAATGTATGCTTGACAACAGCGAGGCAAGCTGGCAATAGTGTCATTGATCTTTTTTTATGGCAGTAGCGTCCATTCCTGTAGTAATGCATGTGGAAGCTCATGCAGGGTGCCTGGTAAGCACACTGCAACCTGCTGTCTGCTGTCCCAACATGTCCCACACATGCTGTATAAGATTCAGGTCTGATGATCTAACAGGCCACAGCAGATGTGGAATGGTTTAACTCTCGAGATAACTCTGCACCACTCGAGCTCTATGCCGGTGGCCATTATTGTCCATGAAAATCATGTCAGTACCCATTGCATTGATGAAGGAACATACAATAGAGTGTAGAATTTTGTCGTGATATTGGTCGGCTGTGACAGAATCACCAAGAATCAGGTAGGGGTTGTTGCGGCTGTTTGTTCCTATTCCAGCCCATAGAAGTAAGCCTCCTCTTTAATGGTCTCTTTTGACTTCTCTCTTTCTGATAGCATGTCCCTAGCTCTGTCGGAATTGTTCTATGTGTCAAACTGAGAGTCATTCGTAAAGAGTATGTGGCCCCACTTCTCTGGTGTCCAACTGCAATGTTCATGGACCCTGTTCAATCTCGTTTTGACATGTGATGGAGACAAACAAATACAAACCACAAGTTGTTGGATGTACAGTCCACTTTCATGCAGTCAATGCAATACAGTTTTGTTACTTTAGTGAATTTTGCTCTGAATTTCAGCAAATGATGAAGTATTATGTTAAAAACTGCTTACAAATTTCTTAGGACTTGAAAAAGATTTCAGAACAACTTCTACTTCATGTATGAATATAAACACATTATTATTTTTATGCGAGATTGTAGACACATTTATGTGTGCAATGGCTTCAGAGCCAGTGCAGTAACACTGGGTAGCAGAATCAGGGGGCAGCAAAATTTCTAGAATTTAGAGAAATAACAAATAAAATTTAGTAATAAAATTTTAGAATTTAGGAGGCATTAGGAAGCAAAATTTAGGGATGGCAAACTGTTTTGAATTTAGAGAGGTGCAAGGCAGCTCAGTATAAGATTTGCAGAGATTGTACTGAGCAACAAAAGTGCCTAGTGCCAGCCCAGTGTGAGCAATAGGATCGGTGGTAGGCATTCTAGGCATCAAAATGAAGGATCCCATAATTATTTCTCCAAAATGTTTTTGTACAAAATAGATGTTGACTTTAAAAACACATGTTCAATTTCTAGAGCTACCAGTTTTTTCAATTTACACTGGAGATTCTTGATTTTCAACTGCATTATCGACCCATGCACCGTATCAACCCAATTTACTACACATTTTTTTGTGACTTTCTTTTATTTATAAAATTTCTGGAGACTTTTGTATTACTCACAGTTTCATTATTTGTTCCCAAAACGTGATATTTGATATCTGAAATCTCTTGGTTTGAAATGAAAAGTTATTTTCTCAGTGAGATATTATAGTAAATTAGAACTGTGCCTGCAAAAACAATGAAATGATTGTAAATAGGAGTAAGACAACCTTTCAGGTTTTTACCCTCAGTACCAAACCGACAGACTTTATGATGTGGCAACGACTAATGCTGTCAAAAATTATTGTACTTTTTAATGTTTCTGAACTGTATTGGGCTGCCCATCACAGACTAATGGCAGTCTTGCCTAGGTCTGGCATAGGATTTTAAAAAAAAAAGAACTATATCTGCAAAAGCAGGTGTGTTTGAAAGAATTATATTCTAATTCTTCAAACAGCATCAAAACTATAATACTCGTCATATTGCACAAAGGATCATGGCTGGATGTCGAGAACTAAGAAAAGTATCTTGCCAGCTTGGCAGTATAATAAAATCACATTACGTCAGTTTGATGTTACTACCCAATTTCCATGCACCTTATTGGCGACAAATTCAAAAACACAGTTACTAGGCAACATAAATTCAACTCTTCCATGAACAAAGAAAAAGTTTATACAAATAACAATCAAGCCTAAATAATAATTTTTTAAATACTTTTTTTTCCAATGGCAGATTGTGAACAGTTACAGTGTAACCCAGTCCATTAATCTATACAAGGCTAGATGTGGTGGTCTCTTTATTATGGAGGCACCTAATAGGTGGGCTACCATCGCCTCGTTTCATTTATTAAACATTTCTTTCAGTGTAAGTTGCTTCGTTTTTTGTGCTAATACTTTCTCTTTAATTCTATAAACAGACATAATTTCTTGTTCAGTTCCACTGTTCAAGTCCTGCAATTGCTGTGTCGAGAATACCGCCTAACTTGTCAATCAAAATTTTTTTGTTTTCAATAACCTCTCTGTCACTTTCTTTACTATTGGAAGTGGTACATTGAAACATGCTTTCACTTTGTAGATCCTTTGACAGCTCCAGAATCGGAAACTTTTTTTGACATAAGCTTACTTTTTATAAAATTGCTCTAACAGTCTGCAAAAAATAATAAGCCGAATCCAATTAGAATATTAAAGAACAACGCAATCTGCAACATTAACCAAAATAGATAATTAGATACTTTTAGCCTAGCTTATATCGTCAGTTATACATTAAATGTGCATGCGTAAACGCATATGCCCATGCGCAGAAAGTTTGTAGCTTTGAGGTCCAGATTATAGATTATGGACGTCCGGATTAAAGACTTTGTACTGTATTATAAATCATACAAAAACCAATTAAAATATTTTCCTGTTTAAATGAGAATTGGTGATTCCATTTTCAGTTATCAGTTAGAACTATTTTAGTCAATTCATTAAAAAAAATTTCTTATGTATATTTTTATCTTTTGCAAATTATTTGCGTCACTGAAAATATTAAGATTTCTTTAAGGAAAAAAAAAATCTCCTGAGTTTAATTGGTTGTCATCTGTGAATTTTGCTACCAAATTAAACCTATTCTATAACTTCATCAAATAACAGCCACATAGATTTATAGAATTTAACTCTTTGAAATCCAGACCATTCGCTAAACTGTACCCTCAAAATACCGAACCACCCGAAATACAGCAATTTCCTCCCCTCCCCATCCATTAACGCAGAAAATAGGTGTGAAGATTTTGAATGACATCCTTTGTACTTTCTAACAAAGATTCCATTAGCCTTTGACCCCTTCTTTATAAAACTATTCTGAAGGTCAGACCAACAAACTTTTCTGGCTTTGTTATGATCATGATTTAGATTTTGTTTATTTCCGCTATTTTTATAGGAAGGACTAAATTGATTAAAAATAAATACAGTCAAAAGTCTTTAATCTGGACGTCCATAATCCGGAATGATCTATAATCCGGACCTCAAAGCTACAAACTTTCTGCGCATATACGTTTACGCAAGCGCATAATACCTTTACACGTGCACATATGCATTTACGCATGCGTGTTTAATGTATAATGGACGGTATAAGCTAAGCTAAAATTATCTAATTATCTATTTCAGTTAATGTTTCAGATTGTGTTGTTCCTTAATTTTCTAATTGGATCCGGTTTTTTTTTTTTTTTTTTTTTTTCCCCAGACCGATAGAGCAGTTTTATAAAAGTAAACTTGAACTTTCGATTATGTCAAAAAGAATTTCCGATTCTGGAGCTGCCAAAGGTTCTACAAAGCGAAAGCATGTTCCGATATCCATCAAACAAAACTTGGAATTGCTGCAAAAAATGGATAAAGACATATCCTTTGTTTCTCTAACCATTCCGAAATCTGTTTATCAATTTCACGCTGCTCTGGGGGGGGGATGTCGTGGAGCGCAATGAACTGGAAGTTGATCTGTCGGCACTATCCTTATCTTCAGGGCAGATGTTTTTATTTTATTCAGCTTATAATTCCTTACTAAATGTAGTATTTCATCTCGATGTACTCCGTCTTTGATATGATTTAAATCAAATTCCTTGTCATTATAAATATCACAAATACACATCAAATAGTTTTCTGGTTGCAATTTTCTAATTTCAACTATGCGTAATGTATGCTTTACACATGCGCGCGTTTAAAGAAATGTTTAATAAAATAAACAAGTAAATATTAAGCCTTTATTTTTTTTTAATTTTGATACCCTTTAGATCACAACTGCTCTTTATTTCATAAATTACGGTTTGATATTTTTAATTTTATAATTTCTACATGCCATCTTACCAGATTTAAACTAATGATTGATAATCCGGAATCGCCGAAGTCCTGATGAGTCCGGATTAAAGACTTTTGACTGTATACTACTTAAATTTTTAAACTGCAATTTTATAGCTGTTTAAAGCTAAAAAGCACACGGTACCTTAAAAAGAATCTACAACGAAATGTTACGACTAAGCAAAAAATAATAAATCTCTTAGGACAAGCTGTCTGTAGTACACTGATACAATGCGTTTGGGGAAACTGCACCTGCTACTGCATACCTTAGGAGAAGGGAAGAAAACAAGATTACAATCTCGGCCATTTTCGGGCGGTTCTGGTTGTTTCAATGTAGGGCGGTGTCGGGCGGATTGGTTGTGAAAGAGTTAAAGCAGAGCTAATTTAAGGGACAGTAGGATAATCCTTCAGGGCAGGACTATCCAGTCTTTTTGTGAATAAGAGCTAATCCTCCCTGCTCTGTGAGCAATAATGTCAGTGGGAAGTATAAAATAATAGTGTAATTAATAAATTGCTTATGGTTGACTTATGGTGTAAAGCATATTAAAATTAGTGGATTAGCTTTTCTAGATAAAAAGATGTATTTATATATTTTTTCAAGCAAGCAAAAAGTTATGCTTCATCTGAATGATTTTTGAACTTCTAATATTAAATTCATAATAATTTTATGTTGTATTTTAATTTAATTACACTGCTACCTGTTATGTAATTATATATTTTGCTAACAAATGAAATGTGATTACCTAATTCTCTTTTTTTTTTCCTCTCCCCCAGGATGTATTAGCTTTAACGCCATTAGAATTTCAAACTTTGCTCGGTATAGACCGCAGAAAAGCTGAAAAGCTGTTAGATAAAATTAGCAAAAAATGTGTTTCACATCCTGAAACAGTAAGCTGCTTATTTCTAAAATTTACTTATATACATTTTTTTATTCTTCTGTTCACATTTTTTGAATGTAATCCCATATTAAAAAATTAACTGAATATCTAAAAAAAAACCTCTCTCTGATTTATTATTGTACATGACCTTTATTTACATCAAGTAAAAATATTTTAAAACATAACTTAATATTTTAATAACTTTTCACATTTTGAAACTTCAATTTTTAATAATTTTTTTTTGGTGATTTATCATTAGAATTCAAATTTCTATGAGATGGAAAGATAAACTTAATTATTTATTTATCTGTCTATGATATACAAGATGCTTTCTTAAAGCAGCAAGAAGCTCAGTGACTGTAGGCATTAAGAGGAATAAAAATTGGAATATGCAGTTTGATTCAAGAAGCATCATGAAACACATTAACTGGAGTAGAAGTTCTGGCTGAAGGCAATGGATGGTAATACCATTGTGGTGGAAACCACATGGAGCAGTTATTTATCTATTTTACTCAAGAATGTCATGGCCAGCTATACAGACGAGGAATAAACTGATTATCATTTGATTTGAATAGGTGGCAATGGATGCTTAGCACATATTCTAGATATTCTAACAGTAATATCCAAGAAGGGATTTTCTTCACGACAGTTCTCTTTACTGGAATAGATCAATGACTATAGGAAATAGAATCCTTCAAGCCAGCAAATTGCAATGAAAAGAGGTGTCAGCATGTACACATTTAAAATAGAAAAAAACACTGCAACAGTTTGCTCCCATCAGCAAGTTCATGGATATGGATAGCTGAACTGTATGTTCTACATATGGTGATGTGGAAGGATCTGCATGCTGGAAACATGCATTCTTTCCACATATAAAATGTATAACTTATGAAACAAAGATGACTGTTCCCATTAAGTATAATTTGTGCCCTAGAAATGATCCATAATTTCCCACCCCCATTTTACTGTCTAATGAGGCCAGCTTCACATAGGAAGGTATTGTCAACAGACTCAGTGACGTATGTGGTCAACAGAAAATCTTCAAAGCAGTGTCTCTCGGAAAGATCAACATGAATAGGAATCCTTGATGTATATCTCAAATGCATCTGATAATCATTTCCCATTAGTATAGGCTATACAATGACATCTGCAGCTGACCCTTCAAGCAACTCTTATACTAATTTCTCTTAATAATATTCAGGCATTATACTGTGCACTAGATGCTGTGTTATAAACATGCTTTCATATAAACCTTGTACGTGCATCTCTCCTCAACATTAGATGCTCCTCAACATCAGACCCTATTTTATACAGCCTATATTTTCACAATTTTTATCAACTAAATTTTGTTTCAATGGTATTTTTCATGGCAAATTTTGTTCCAGATGTCTACCGTCATCCCTTCTCGATATCTACCGGCATGAGTATTTTTTCAGGTTTCACCAACTAAGTGTGGTTTTCAAAAGTATGATCCAAGGCAGTGTTTTCTGCTCTTAATCAATAAATACTACCACCTTAAGTTCTATTTTGCACAGTTTCTCTTTTCTGTTTAGTCAATTTTGAGCTTCAAAAAAATTCTCCTCCCACCTATACATATTATAATTATGTGATAAATTACTTAATTGACTACTCTATTTCAATTTAATAAATGGTTCATGAAATTAAAACTATTTTAGGAAATCTTTCCAGTATCAAACTGATATGAGCTGCCTGATGCCTGAATTCCATTATTCAAAGATCAGATCTCAAAGACAGTTTTTTCCATTCCAAACATCTTTTCTTTTTAATTTTTTTCATGTAAAATTTTTATATGAATTATATTATTATTATTTTTTATGTTAATAGGTTTTCCAGCTGTGTTCAAATCAAAATAAAGCCTCAAATGAATTTTTTTCATTATCATTGAATTCACTAGATCTGTTATTGCAAGGAGGCTTACCTTTTGGAAGCATATCAGAGGTAAGTTAGTTTATAGATATTTTACCTTTTCAGTTGATGTAATTTTTCTAAGTTGGTCAATAAAAATAAATAATTTAATTATTCAACATATTGCTATCAATAAGCTACACTTTTCTTTATTTTAGCACAAAATCTTAAAAGTCATAATTACTTTATGTATGAAAAAGTAATGAAACATATTTCCAGATTTCTTTTTCCCTGCACAGTGTTTCTTTAGTGCACAGTACAGAAAAAATACTAGTTGTTTTATTGTGACAGAAGTATAATAAATTGGAGAAGGGAGGACATTTTTTTTTTTTTTTAATTTTACTATAGCAGTTTTTGGCATTATTTGCTTAAATAAAATTCTTTAAAAAATGTTTATTAGGAAAATTTATATTTTTGATAAAAAAATGTGCTTTAGCACTTGTATTCAAAATAGAAGACTTTCTGCCTGTGGCAAATTGTCTGTCGTATTATAATTTGCCAAATATGATCTATTCACAGAAAAAACAGTATTAATTAACTGTACTAACAGGGCTTAATTTTAAAAATTAAACGTGCCAAAGCCATACAGGAGGCCATCAGGAAAAATAGAAAAAAATTAAATAAATAAAATAGTACATATTGACTAATAAAATTAAATAAAATGTAAACAAATAAACAAAAAAGTTAATAAAATTAAATAAATCATTGATAAATAATTAAATAATAAATTAGAATATCAAAGTTTATAATATTTCTGGAACTTTCAGTCTGGAACTATGATCAAACTGAGAAGTACTGAAGCCAGGCTCTGGTAGAGTCCGGCTGAATTTAAGCCCTGAATGCTAAAGAAAAACATGTATTCTTTCCAAATATTTCTGCGATACCAGTTAATTTGAAGATTCATTGATATTCTCATTTTAAGGAACTTCTTAATACAGTACCACATACATATATAACAACTATAAATAAGGCATAAGGGCAGTACTTGTGGTATTAAGTATTAACTTAGAAGTCTAAAGATCCTACACCAGAGGTGGCAATGTGGTGCCCATGAAGAAATTTTAAAATGTCCCCTCATTCAAATTTCTAAATTTTGGATAGTTGGACAACAAAGAGCTGTAATTTTATATCTTTGCCATTTTACCAATTGTACGAATCATATAATTAAACTTTTGATGAAAACTGAATATTAGCAACAGCTAAATAATACTACATGACTAGAGGAATAAATTTCCAACTACTATGAAAATCTCATTCTGCATATTGTGAACTATTTTCTGTCCTCATTATCCTTGTATACTCTGCTCCAACATGGCAATCTATGGCTCCATAAACTTTGTTCATACATAAATTTGTCATTTCACGTATTTGAATTTTTAGTTGTAAGGAGAGTACCATGAGGGAAAAATAAGAAGCAGAAGACAAATAAATTTAATGTTGAGTGTGAAGAATAGTTTTGTTTTATTTATTATAAATGAAAAAAAAATGTATGCTTATTATGCATGTCAAGTGCAGCAGTTGCCAATGAATGTAGTATAGAGAGATGTTTCATCACTACTACAGTGCCTCCTGAATAATCACTGCAATGACATCGAACTCCTGCATTTCAGAAGTATGCTGTTCTACTAAAATTGTTGCCAACCCCTCTGTTGTTTGTTCTAGAGTAGATGAAACTTAATGATCGTACACTGTATTCAGTTTTGTGCTGTTTATTCTCGTATAGTTACCTATCCATATGTTTTGCTGTTGTGGAGATAACCAAAATGTTTTATAAATTATAGATGCAAGCATTTAAAATAGCAGAGTAATACAGTGCACTGCCTGAATAAAACATTTTGCATTACTTTATGAAGTAATTTCAATACTTCATAAAGTAATGCAAAATGTTTATTTATTTTTGACTGCCTGAATAAAACATTTTATTCAGGCAGTCAAAAATATAATATATATATTATAAGGCACTGCCTGAATAAAACATTTTGCATTACTTTATGAAGTAATTTCAATACTTCATAAAGTAATGCAAAATGTTTATTTTATTTAATTTTTCACATTTGAAAAATACTCACATCTAGATATAGAATCCTGAGAACTGTCAGGTAATTTAAGCTAATAATATACAAAATGCATTTAAAATGTATAAAATTTTTCTTACTTATTTATATAGCCTTCCTCCAAATTATTTTACATAACAGAATTTTTCTACACATTATAAAATTTCTTCTGGCCAAAAGAACCTTACATTAAAAATATTTTATTCATTTCATAATACTGTGTTTGCATAAGATGTTTTATTTTACAAATGTAACATTTGTATTTCTAAAATTATATTTGTAAATGATTTCTCTTTTTGTAGATTACTGGTCCACCTGGAGTAGGAAAAACTCAGTTTTGCTTTATGCTAAGTATGATAGCAACATTACCTGTTTCATTAGGAGGTGCAGATGGTGAAGTTTTATATATTGATACTGAATCTACATTTTCTGCTGAGAGGCAAATTTAAAATTTATATTTAAAAATATTACATTAGAATCTAAAATATTATATTAGAAATATCTAAAATATTATATTAGAGATTTTAGAAAGATCTAAAATATTATATTAGAATGCTATCTTAAATTAAATCAGATTTTATTTAATTGTTACAGTTTATTTATTTCCAGTATATATGATGATTAAATTGATTTATATCTGTTAGAATTTAAATGCAGTGAAACCTCCCATGGTGATCGCATTCCATAAACAGCAATCTTTGAAAGTAACCAGCATTTCTTATATCATAAAAAAGCACTTTCGACTACTTTATTAATTTATATAAATAAATATCAGTATATTGAGTGTCACCTTGTTTAAGATGATTACTTCAACAGAAGGCCAAAATAATCTTGAACATGCATGATCATCTCGGTGAGGTTTCTCTGTATGTAAGCTCATAATTTTTTTTTTTTTTTTTCCTTATCCCTTAAATTATTTCCAGGATTGTTGCTATGGCAAGGAAACGATTCCCTCAAATTTTTAAACAAAATAAAGAAATAGAATTATTCCTTCAGAAAATTTCAGTTCATAAAGCTACTTCTGTTAGTGCATTAAAAGATATGTAAGTATTAATTTTCTTTATTTCATAATTAGAATCATTTGTGGTGATACTCAAGCAAAATCAGCAATATAAAATCATTATAACAGCTATAAAAATAATTTATCCTTTTTATATCAAATGAGTAGTTTTTTATGTCCATATAATAAAATATTTACTTCAATATAAATGTACATGTTAGTTAAGTAATTATCATCAAGTAACCAGAAAATATTCAAAAATATGGGCAACTGCTGGCTTTTTCAGAATAATTACTAATTATTCTGAAAATCACTTATCCTTTTTGATGCAAATAGAATAAGTGCTGCTCTATTTTTTTATGACCAAGTCTTAAAACAATTAAATGATCTAAAAGTTGTTGTTGTTACATATGGCTTGATTGGAAAGATCAATCCAAACATATAAAACAGCTCAAGTATCACACAAGAACAATGATATATAATAATAAAAAAAGAACAAACATTTAAAGTAAGAATCAGAATAAATGAACATGGGAACAAAAGTAAAAAGTTAAAAATTTAAACAAGAAGGAAAAGAACATAAGAGATGTAGTCTTTATAAGGAGTTCATGAAAGCTTTGGCATTTCAGTATAGTTTCTTTACCTCACCATATTTCTGAGACTCTTTATCTAGTTCTAGGCATATAAGGAGATGCTCTGCATTCATGATGCCCAAATTGCAAATTTGGGATATACTAGATGGAAGGGTGCCAATTTTATTAAGATGATATGCCATGCAATCGTGGCCTGTTTGCAGGCTGAATTTAGTCACAGCCTCTTTACGGGTTTTTCACAACTTTTTCCATGTGTCTTGAATGTTAACCCAGAATTTGCCTGTTGATTTTGCTGCCTGGTCAGATTCCAGTATCTATTAATTTCTTAAAAGTATGCCTTTTAAGTGACTCTAGAGGAAGTGATTTGCTGTCTTGTGGCTGAAGTCTTCTTCTCTTGGCTAGTGCGTCTGCTTTTTCGTTATCATCGATAGCTACATCTGAAGGGATCCATTGAAAAACAATTGTTTTCTTGTGCTTATAACGACACTTCTAGATTTATGTTATTTCTGAGATAATCTGGGTATCTGTGTCATGATTTATAACTGCAGCCTGAATGGCTGCTTTGGAATCGACTAGAATAACCGCTTTAGAGAAACAATCAATCTTTATTTTGAGGTTTTCCAGAACCAGTGAGATTTTAAGGATCTCTGCATCAAAATTTGACATGGAGTGTCCCACAGGAGTGCCTTGAGAAAAGAGTTTACTGTATACACCAGCCTTAGTGTTGTCTTGTAGTTTAGAGCCATCAGTGTATACTCCAGTGCATTCAGGTTCAGGTTATTGTTCATATAACATACTTAATGTGTTTTATTTTAATATTGCATCAGGAATGTTTCTCTTTCCCAAGTCATTAATATCTAGTTGGTATTTGATACCAATATATTCAAGGGGATTAACCATGACCTTGTAAATTCATTGGTTTGTTTTCATCTGTTTCTTGTAATAATTTCTCACAAGCCTCTAGGGGAGACATTTGGATCTTCATAGTACTTGGTTTGCATTAATTCATCCATTGCGCTCTATGTAATGTTTTCATTTTAACGAATGTACACTGTGTCAAAAAATAAGGGGAGGGGGGAATTTCTATATCTCCTGTTCTATTGAGCTGATTGACGAAATTCAATTTGTGTTTTCCATGTCTCTAAAGCTCGACTTAGGATATGTATTAGATTTATATGTAGCATTGTTCTACGAGGGTAAGTTGAAAAATAAGTTTTCCCTGTCGACTGTGGTCAGAGTTGTGTATGAAAGTCAAAAAATAGAATGAGACATTAAAGATATGACATACCTTTATTTTTCCACATAGGTACCAAGTACATTGAGACATTTGTCATATCGCTTGATAAGCTTCAAAAAGCCCTCCAGGAAAAATCAGGGCTTTGCATATGGAAGAAGTGTTGAACAGCTTGTTTCACTTCAGTATTGCTTCCAAAGTGCCTTTCCCCGAGATTTTTCTTCAAAGCCGGAAACAGATGGAAGTCGCTTGGTGCAAGATCAGGACTGTATGGCAGATGGTGTAGGCACTCCCAATCAAGAGTTGCAATATGGTTTTGCATTGCCGTCACCGAATGTGGTCTGGCATTATCATCCAACAGCAGAACGCGGGATGTGAGAAGGCCAGGCGGCTTTTTTTGAATCGCCTCTTTCAATTTCGACAGGGTGTCACAGTAGCGTAGCATTGATGGTTCCAACCTCCAAAAAAGTCCAGCAACAAAACTCCTTGGGCGTCCCAGAAAACTGTGACGAGCACTTTACCTGCAGAAGGTGTTGTCTTGAACTTCTTTCGGACAGGTGATGACGGATGTTTCCACTCCATAGATGCGGCCTTCGATTCTGGCGTGAAATGGTGGACCCACGTTTCATCTCCCGTCAAAATCCGAAACAGAAAGTCATTGCCATTTTCATGGCAACGCACGAGATGTTCCAGGCTGACCCCCATGTGTTGTTCCTTGTGTGTCGAGGTCAATTGTCGGGACACCCATCGTGCTGACACTTTTCTGTATCGAAGAATGTCAAGGATGATGTTTTGAGCTCGCTCATGTGAGATTCCAAGTTCTTCCGCTACTTCATCGATGGTGATACGCCGGTTCGCTCTAATCATGTCATCCACCTTCCTGACATTTGCATCTGTAGTGGCCGTGCGCGTCCGTCCAACTCTCGGTTATGTCCTCCACTTGCTGACGTCCATCACTAAATGTGCGACACCATTTGCTTCGACATCACACCTGGCCCATAGACTTCCACGAGGCGGTTATGAATTTCTGTTCCTGATACTCCACGTGCCCATTCATAGCGAATAACCGCTCTCACTTCCTTCTTTGACCATGAATTCAAAACGCAACTTCTCTCCATACCTACAGGGGCTCAAATGAGAGGCTGGTCTCCGCTTTGCGCAGACACTGCAACAGCGCCATCTGCTTGATTTGCAGCGACCTCTACCCAATGGTGTATCGGTGACTTGCGCGTCTTCCTGCTGTGTCGCCTTTTGCCCATAGCCGTTCAACACTTCTTCCATATGCAAAGCGTGAATTTTTCTTGGAGGACTTTTTGAAGCTTATCAAGCGATATGACAAATATCTCAACATACTAGTACGAGAATAATAAAATAAAGGTATGTCATATCTTTAATGTCTCATTCTACTTTTTGAGTTTCATACACAACTCTGACCACAGTCAACAGGGGAAACTTATTTTTCAACTTACCCTCATAATATAGGTATTTTGACACAAAATCAGACTTTTTCGAAAATGGCATGCCATTTTTTTTTTTTTTTTTTTTTTTTTTTTCCCATATTTTGATTCTACAACTCAAATTATGCCAAACTGCCGAGTTTTGTAAAATTCGCTTGAGTAGTTTTTAAAAAATTAGTTTTCAAAAGTTTAGCACCTCAGTGTTAATTGAATTTGACATATATTTATTAATATCTTTCTTTTTATTAAACTTATTTGAATCTTCCTTTCATATTTCGAAATTTAGGTTCATTCCAAATAAAATTCGTCTTTTTTTTAGGATTTATTTTTAAAATTTGTATTTGTAAATAATTTTTATACATTTTTCAAAAAAAATTTTGAATCATAGGCTATAAAAGTTTTGCCATCATCTTAAAGTAGATGTATTTCTAAGCATACCTGCAAAAAATTAAGAGTTTTTTAATCAGACTTTCCTAAGATATATAAATTTACATTTTGGCACGTTTTGAAATTTGGCATATTTATTATTAGCGATAATAATGAGAATGTGGTTTACGCACTTTGTTAAACTTATTTGAAAGTATGAACAATGACTTTTTCCCCGTTCATGGACAATGAAAAAAAGAAAAGGAAAGGAAAATAGGTTGCTATAAATTAAGAAGTTCACCAAGTGAATTATTCTTGGCATAAAATGAAAAGAATTTGCCAAGATAAATTTTTAAATTTCGCACCAAAAATTACAAAGTTTAATATCTAGGCATAATTTGAGTCTTAGAATCGAAATATGGAAAAAAATTTCAGAAAAAGTCCGATTCTGTGTCAAAATACCTATGTTAGAACAAAGCTATATATAAATCTAATGTATATTTTAAGTCTCGCTTTTGAGACATGGAAAACGCAATTTGAATTTCGTCAGTCGGCCCAGTAGAACGGGAGATATCCTTTCCCTCTGGCCTGCAGTACACCAACTGATTGTTTCTTGATTTCAGTAGCAATTGGTGTAGCTCTGCATAGCTGTAATCGGGGTAGTTTTCACCGCTCCTGTGATAATCCGAAGAGCTTTGCTTTGGGCTTTTTCCAGAGCCAGTTTTCCCTTGTGTGGTAGAGATTAACACCTCACTTCCATATTTGAAAATAAGTTTAATATAAGTGTTGTAAGTTTTATTTAGAGTAGTGAGCTTCCTCATTTGGTACCAGCTAGTCTTTTCAAAATTGAGGATATTTTCTCTACTTTTTCTATAACAGTATTTACATGATCAGTAAAGTTTAATTTGTTGTCCAGCACTACACCTAGATATGTGCTACTAGTGCTTTTGTCAAGAGTAGCATTGTCTATTTTTAATTCAAAGTCTGTATTCACATGTCTCAAGCGAAGACTGGTTACCTGTTTTCTTTTTATTTATAATCATATTTGTTCTCTTTGGACCAGGTCTGCAGGACTTCATGTTCATTATAATTTAAATTTTTTTCTTTGGTCTTCATATTTTCTGGAATTTTCTGCTTCTGTCCAAATAACAACATCGTCTGCTAAAATACGGACATTACCACCTGTAATGCTTTTTAACTTCACTACCAAATCATTTATACAGTACAAAGTCTTTAATCCGAACGTCCATAATCCGAAATGATCTATAATCCGGACTCAAAGCTAAAAACTTTCTGCGCATGCGTAAGCGCATGTGCATAATACCTTTACGCTTGTGCATATGTGTGCATAATACCTTTACGCATGTGCATATGTGTTTATGCATGCGCATAA